ACTCCGACACATTTATTTCGTCATTTTGAATACACAAGTGTAAACAAAACTACTCTCTAGACAATATCACTTTTTAAATTCACATGAATGGGAAACGTGGCGTCATTTGTACAAGGAAGAATTCAATTTCAGCTATCTGAAATGTTAATTTTAGATAGGAAGAATGTTATTTTAGATATCTGAAATGTTCAGTTTTACTAGGAAGAAATGCATTTCAGACATCTGAAATATATAGTTGGTCAAGCTAATAAATGTCAAAAGGGACACTTAACATTTCTAAAGATTTCTAGGTATTTGAAAGGTTATTCTTACTAGCACAATTATATTTTTAGCAGCCTGAAATGTAATTTTTTTTTTAGGAAAAATTTAGCTATTTGTACATTTCTGGCTTCGAGGAATGTAGTTTTGACTAGGAAGAATCTTATTTTAGAGGTCAACAAATGGAACAATAGAGAGGAAGGTGCTTCTAATAAATGTTAAAACGGCCTGCCATAACCCTGAGGATGAAGGTGCGTCAGAGAGCGGGAGGAGGAGGATAAGGGGGGGTAGCTAGACCCAGCTAACACCAATACTGGCAGCTTGTTTATCTGTGTCTCAGTGCAGTCTGACTGACATTGATGTCACGCACAGAGACAAAGAAACGCTGAAGAAACGAGTTGATGTGTAAACCAGCGGACACTCCGTTTAGAAAAGTAAAACAATGAGCAAATGGTGAAGGAGGGCAGGGTGAAGACAGAAAGGGCATCTCTGAGTGAAGCAGCAGCAGCAGCAGCAGCCTCCTCCTCCCGGACTGTAATCTGCGGATGAGAGTCGGTGTGTGACCCGCGGCTCAGCGGGAGCTCTGCTGCCGATAGGAGCAGCTGATTACCGGTGAAAACAGCAGAGACCGCAGACAGCCACCATGAAATTCACCGAGCATCTCTCAGCTCACATCACACCGGAGTGGAGGAAGCAGTACATCCAGTATGAGGTGAGCGAGTTTCACAGGTTAGCCCGGCTAGCCGTCCGGCTAGCTCTCTGGAAGCCGGGCTGGATGTCTGTCCAGTTAAGGAGGATTTGTTCAGCCCCAGAGCGGCGCGTTAACAACAACCTGCCGCCATGGAGCAAACAGGAAGGGAGGAAAAGTGCTGCGAGTTGTTAGAGAAACAGCAGCAGCCGTTAGCTAGCAGAGCAGCCTGCTGGGTTTGTTTAGTTTCTCCGTGTTTGTTTTTTTATCGGGCTGTTTATGGGACAACAAGATGTCCGGCTGAGTCAGCGGGTTTCACATGATTTAATCTTTGCGTCCGTTGACCCCGATGGCGGCTGTGAAACAGCTGAGACAGCTGCTGATCCTGCGGCTGTTTAAACATCAGAGGCGCTGATAACTCAATCTGCGACCTTTGACCAATTAGGGCCGCAGGGATGAAGGCCCCCCATGACTGAATGTTGGTGGGACACTTTATCCATCCTGCTGGGGTGTGCGGAGAAAAATCTGCAACTAAAGGTTACAGAACAGTGGAAAATCACCATCTTCCCCAGCTTATTCCCAGGCTCAACATGGTTGGATATTTAA